CACTCTACACGCACACTCGAATTTCTATACTTTCTCAGCCGAGACAACTACAGATACATTGCTACTATACCCATCACTCACTCTACACGCGCACTCGCATGTTTATACTTTCTCAGCCGAGACATATGCAGACCCGGTGGAGCCACCCTTCTCATCCACACTCAATCGGCGACAGAAGAAAATGGAACAGAAACGTCTCAAGAAAACACGCAGTGAGGAAGCCCCGCCCTCGCCCAAACACACACACGCCCCACCAGTGGCCTACGCCCACTCCTTCACCAGCGCCAAATTCAGCGCACTCGACCCAGACCTCACAGAGGTGCAGGACGAGCACTGCTATACCTACCTGCAGGTGTGTAGGGGCAAGGGGGGAGCTGCACCCGTGCACCTGTGTTTAGGGCTGGTTCACGTTTTGTCCCGTTCTCAAACGCATTGCACACACTATACACTCCGGTTTCCCATTTTGTCCTGAAGTCCCATTCCTTCCCCGGGTGCAGCCCTATGACACAGCCTCTGAGCCGCAATTGGCCGACACTTCAGCTGACCGCGTGGCGCTGCGAAAGTTCGCTGCGACAACAGCAACGCCAATGGCCAGTGACAGTGTACTGTCGTTTAGGGCAACGGACTCAGAGACAGACCTCATCTCAACTGCCAGCTGCAGTGCTGTGGATGACAGCGCAGAAAGCTACAGGTGAGTTAGACATGACACTGACAGGTAGGTAGGTACCTACAGGTGAGTAGACATGACACTGACAGGTAGATAGGTACCTGCAGATGAGTAGACATGACACTGACAGGTAGATAGGTACCTGCAGATGAGTAGACATGACACTGACAGGTAGATAGGTTCCTACGGTACCTGCAGGTGATTAGACATGACACTGACAGGTAGGTAGGTGCCTACAGATGAGTAGACATGACAATAACAAGTAGATAGGTACCTGCAGATGAGTAGACATGACACTGACAGGTAGATAGGTACCTGCAGGTGAGTAGACATGACACTGACAGGCAGAAAGATGCCTACAGATGAGTAGACAAGACACTGACAGGTAGATAGGTACCTACAGGTGAGTAGACATGACACTGACAGGTAGATAGGTACGTGTAGGTGAGTAGACATGACACTGACAGGTAGATAGGTACCTACAGGTGAGTAGACATGACACTGACAGGTAGATAGGTGCCTACAGATGAGTAGATATAACACTGACAGGTAGATAGGTACCTACAGATGAGTAGACATGACACTGACAGGTAGATAGGTGCCTACAGATGAGTAGACATGACACTGACAGGCAGATAGGTACCTACAGATGAGTAGACATGACACTGAGTGGTTTGTGGGGGTCTTTCATTGGCGTACAGTGAGTGGAGACGCTGCTACACCTATACAGCATAGCACTGAGTTTAGCCGTGCAGGTGGTAGCATGCCACAGGACCACACACCCCTGAAAGCTCGCACGCCTAAACCCTAAAACCACTGTCTCCTGCGTCTCATCCCTTCCCACAGCCGACGCCGTAGCGACACGCAACATTGCACGCGCAAACTGATGCAAGGCATGACCTTCCGCAATCGCAAGTCATCGGCCCCTGCGCTGAGCATCGTCCCTGACGACGACATTTCCAGTGCGCACACCGCGCCGCTACGCGCACGACAGAACAGTCGTATGAGTCATCGTAGTTACGGGACGGGCGCGGGCGCGGCAGACGCGAGTGTGCGGACGATTGGCAGTGTGAGTTTATTGTCGTTTGGTTCGGCGCTGAATCGAGCACCGCAACGGACTATCAATTCACCATCCAGTCTCCTTGCACGAAGCCAATCACACGATATATGGCTCAAGGACGCCCAAGGTATGGACAACTGTATATATATATATATATATATATATATATATGTGTGTGTGTGTGTGTGT